GGACTGGAGAATGCTTTTCTTTTTTTCTTCTTCATAGGAAACTAAGCAGGCAATATCCCATTTCCTAGGGGTTCCCCCAAGTGATCTGAGGAGCCAAATCTTCACCCCAAAATTTCCTCTCCTACTGATCCTTGTGTGACCTTCCCAACCCTCAGCACGTAAAGTAATGCCAAATGCACAAGGTTGGGATCCCAGTGGCTCCCAAATGCTGATGTGGGAACATCCATGTTCCCACCCTGCCATAGTGCTGGGGAGAAAGAGGGAAAGAAAGAGGAAAAAACAAAAAAAAGTAGGGGGGAAATGGGGTGGGGGGTAAGTGTGAGGGGGAAATGAAGGGGAGAAAAGGAAAAAAATGGGAAAGAAAAGGGCAAAAAGAGTGGGAGAAAGGGGTAAAGGCCAGGGGGAGAAAAAGAAAAGAGGTAAAGGGAAGAAAAGCAGGAAAGGTAAAGGGGAAGGGGGGAAAGCCCCAGYTGTGCTGCAGCAGAGGAGCTGCCCTGGCTGGTGCTGGTTGCGACAGGGGCAGCGGGAAAGGGCTGAGCTGTTTGCTCAGCCAGAGCTCTGCCCCTTCCCGGCACTGCTGGGCGATGGCACCAGCTCAGCCTTGGCACCAAAACCTGGCAACCTGGGGCTGCCTGGGGCTGCCTGGCCCTCCTGAGAGCCACAGCTCCTGAACCTGCTGCTCAAAACAAACGCGGTGATTAAATCAATCACCATGCTTAATTATGGTGTCAGCATTCGGGGGGCTGTAAGGCACTGTTAAATTGGGAGATTCTGCATTTGAAGAAGTTATAATTTGTGCTTTTTTTATTAAARCCTGAGCCCACTGTGCTGATGGGTTCCTCGTAGCCAAGGCCCCTTCCCCATGAATCCCCCATGGAATCCCCCACAAGAGCACGCATGAACCCCTGTGCCAGCCCCATATCCCAAAGGGAAACAAGGCCACTATGGACCAAAGCCCTTGGAGCTCCCATCCAGCCTTCTCCAGGGTTTATTTGCCCTGTGGAGCAAAGCCACATCCCAGTGCCCTCAGTGTCCCCAAGGTCTCCAAACACACCTGGAGCTGYGAGCATTTTGCAGGCACCCACAAAATTAATTGCAGTTTCTGAGAACAAAAGCCTGCATTGGTGAAGCGTTACATTGGTGGGAGATTTTTTTCCTCTTTTTAGGCTGGAGAAGCGAAGATTTTGCAAGATGAATTTCCTCCACCTGCTATTGCTTCATGCCTGAGCAAACAGCCCGGCAGTGGAACGGGCACACGTTGGTGCTGGGGATGTCCAGCATTGCTGGCAGCCCTATAAAAGGGACGGAGCTGAGCAAAGCCTGGCACAGCAGGAGCATCCTGCTGGACAGCCAGGAGATGTTGGCCACCCTCGCCCTCCTCCTGGGGCTGCCACTGGCCCTGGGCACCGAGCCCCCGAGCTGTGCCCCGCTCGTCCCGGTCACCTTGGACAACAGCACCGTCCCTCGGGTAAGCCCTGCCCTCATCCTCTCCTTTCCTAGCACCATCCCTGGTCCTTATGGACACAGGAGGTGCTTATGTGAGCTCAGTGTTGATCTCACTGCCTGGTTTTCCTGATAAAAAAAACAGACTGCTGCACAGGAGCACGGGGAAGGGGTGAAGCCTTGCAGCTCTGCACCCATAATCTCGTGAGCAGGMGTTTTGGGAGGCTCCTGCTCCCATCTTTCTATGCAGACCAGGCTGGGCAGCACCATCCCAGTGCCTCACCACTCTATTTTAAGTCCTTCAAGCGATGGTGACTCAGGTCACGAGTGTCCATCCCCAAACCCTTCACTGTATAAACAGTGTTTGGTCCCCCGGGAGCTTTTAATGGGATGAAAGCAATGAGAGCCTGGCATGGAGCAGGAGGAACACCACTGCAGAAAGAACTGGCCATGCTGGGAGCTGGAGCAGAGCCTCAGCAGAGAGGGGACAAAACCCAGAGATCCTCAGCAAGCCCAGCTCATGCCCAGGGCAGTCACCCACCGGGGTGCTCGAGGCTGTGGGACAGCAGGACACGGGACATGGGACACAGCATCTGCTTTCACTCACAGGGGCCCTGTGGGTGAACCTGGCACAGCCTCCCCCAACCTTCCCTCTCTCTGCTCCCCTCCACAGCTCCTGGGACAGTGGTTCTACATCGTGGGTGCCTCCAAGTACCCCCCTTACCTGGAGGAGCTGAAAGCAGTGACATACGCGGCTTTTTCCTTCTCTCCTGGCAGCCACGAGGATGAGCTCAACGTCACTGAAATCATGAGAATGTAAGGACAGGGATTCACCCCCTGACCTGGCTCCCCTGCCCCCAGGGGCATTTCTACCCTCTGGGGTCACCCTTTGGGCTGAGACAGCCACAAATCTGGGGCTGGACAGCAGCTATGCCACAGTTATTTAAGCTCTGCAGTCCTGATCAAGTTCCAAATCCCTCAGGTTTGCTTGGGGGGTATTTGCTACCTTTGACCTCTCTGCCCCACAGAAACGAGACGTGTGTGGTGAGGAACTCCAGCAAGGTGCTGGTGTTCCAGCAGAACTCCACCCTGATGCACGGTAAAGCCCCTGGGATGGGGTGGGGGGACTCAGCCATACCTGGGACCCTCCCCCTTCTGCCCCCCAGCACTCAGCACCCCGAGCCTTTCACATCTAAAATCATGTCTGGAGGTGGGAGGGAAACATTTCATCCAGCACATAACATGGGGATGGTAGTGCTGTGGGAGCAGAGTGATCCCCCTGGGATGGGTCTCAAATAAAAGGGGACAAGGCCCAGCACGRGGTGACTGTCACCACTGGGGGAATCTCACTGTCTCCATCCTCCCAGTGGAGGGAGATAAGCGRGAGGTTTCCATGGCCAGACTGATCCAGAGTGACAAGGACCTGCTGATCCTGAACCACATCAACAGCGACTTCCCATCTCTGAGCCTGTCAGGTGAGCAGATGCTTCCCCAGGGACAAATCCCCACCCTCAGAGGCAGGGCAAAAAGCCCCTTTTCACCTGACAAAGATGGGTTCAGGCAGTGAGCTCCCCATCTGCTCTGTGGGGACACCCAGGAGCAAAGCACCCCTAAAACTCCCCTTTTYCCACCCCCTTCTCCATTTCTGGGACAGCACGGACACCAAATGTGAGCAAGGAGCACATGGAGGAGTTCAAAGCCCAGCTGCATTGCCTGGGTTTCGCTGAGGAGGATGTGTTCTACACTTCCAGAGAGGTACAAACCCCTCCCCGGGGTGGGTAAGGCCCAGGCCAGGCTCTGTTTCCATTTGGGATGGGGTCTGGGGGGAATGCAAGCTTAGTTCCCCCATGCAGCTTCCCCTCTGTGCATCCCCACTCCTTTCCCCAACCATTCCTGGTGGTTTTGGGGTCAGGGGACACCAAAGGCCACTCTCCTCTCTCCCACAGCATACCTGTCTCCTTCCTGGGGAGAAAACGGGCAAAGGCAGCGCAGATCCACAGCTGGGGTAACCCCCATGGACCGGGTCAGCTGCTCCATCCTCATCCTCCTCCAGCCCCAGCCGGGCTCAGCACAGCCTCAGGATCTCCTATCCTGTCCATATTTCATTTTTTCCTCCTGGTTTACACACCMAATTTCACTGTTCTCAACCCAAAATAAATTCCTGTGTTACAACCACTTGGCTGCTCCTGCTTCATCCTCTCCGGGGCTACATCCCAACCATGGGACACTGGRACATGAGAGCCCTGACCCCACAGGGTGACACACAAGCCTGCCAATCCCCTCAAATCTCCCCCACAGTGACACTTTCAGCACCTGAACAATCCCACCCTCAGTTTTCAAGCCAAATCCCACAAAGCTCCATCTTCACCTGGGCTTTGCACAGGGTCACAGCAGGGCAGGGTGACAAAGGTGACACTGAACCTTCCCCGAGTGTCTCTGAGGAGGGGAAAGGAGAGAGGATGGAAAAAAAAACATCACCAGGGCCAGACCAAAGGGTTCAGGGAGGCTCTGCTGCCAGAGAGGAAAAGGCAAACAGAAATAATGCCAGAGAAACAAGTCCTGCCAGTCTGATACAGGGACAGCAGCAGGACAGGGAGCGTCAGGGAACTGCCGCAGGGGATGTGTCCAGCAGGACAGGGGTGACCTCTGASACCCACCAGCGCCACTTTTAAGTCCAGTTTTGGCAAGAAAAGCAAAAGCACCTTCTCTTCTCTTCWAAGCCCTCCTGGGTTTTGCCTGAGACTGGGGTGGGGGGCTCTGCACATCTCATTAGCAGGGCAAGAGGCGACTATAGCAGCTGCTCACGGGGGCAGTCATGGTTAAATTCAGGGTAGATTGAAGTTTGAAATGCGGTAACTGCATCACCAGCAGCCCACTCCTGTCAACACCTCTCACAGCGGCCAAATCCAAGGCCGGGGCAAGCGCCAAGCACGTGGCTGTCCCCCGGGCATCCGCTTGCGACAGCGGGGCAGATCCGACACACCCTGTCCCTCCCGGCAGAGCTATAGGAGCCGACAGCGGCCGTGTGTCCCTCACAGTGCTCGGACAGCCATGGGCACGGCRGGGATCGTGYTCATCCTCAGCCTGGCAGCGSTGCTGCCCGCGGCCGCCGAGCCGTGCGGAGCGCAGCGCCCGGACAGCAGCACGGCCACCAAGGTAGGAGCCACACGAGCCCCGGGTGCCCCACGCCTGCAGCGAGCTKGGGGTAAACTCTGCTGAGCCTCGCTGTGCCCTGGAAAAGGGAAAACCTGTCCTCATCCCCCTGCAACCCCGGCATATCKGCCAAGGTGCTCTGAGCGAGGCACCCGCAGCAAACGGGAAATGTTTGCTGTCCGAAACTCCTCGAATTAACCCCGTTTGCTCCGGTCCCAACAGCGACCTTGAAACAGGGCGGGTGGTGGGTATTTTTGAGTGTAAATCCCCCACAATAGCGCCGGGCTGTCCTGACCCTGTTTCCCAACCCCCACACCCAGATATTTATTCCACCCAGTTYATTTGCAAAGGTTTCACCTCCCTGCTGCAAATGCGAGAGGAAGAACTTGCACCACTATCAATTTTGCAACGGGGAGGGTGGAAATCTCCTTCCCAGAGCTCTTCCCGCAYATCCAGCAGCTGTCCCCAAGCTGTCCCTCTGTCCCCACAGCTGCTGGGAACATGGTTCTATGTGGCCGGGGCTGCCCAGTATCCCCCGCACCGAGTGGAGATGCTGCTCATCGATCACGCCTATCTGCATGTGGGACCCGGCGCCGGGCAGGAGCTGCTCATCTCCCACTACGTGGCCGTGTAAGATGCAGTCCCTGGGCTCTCAACCCATCCCCTCCCCGCTGCAGCCCCAAAATCTCTTAGCACAAGTCATGAGCACGGCTCCAGATTGGTTTAKCCAAAGGGAATCTCTCCTGCCTGCTCTGTGCATCCTTTACTTTCCTCCTCATCCCCTTTATTTACCCATTTATTTCAACAGACCCCAGGGCTGGGTGATTTTTGCAGGGCATGGGGGTCTCACAGGAAAGCATGGAGGATGCAGGCAAGGAGAAGACCATTCCACATGTCCTTGTGCCACAGCTGCTGATTCGGCCAGGCACCCAAAACTGTTTCCCCTGCAGGGGCAGATTTTCAGGGAACGATTTTTCCTGTGTTAACACAGGCAGCTCTTTGAGGTTTCAGTTATTTCAGGGTGGAAAACGTGTCACCACCAAGGAATGGGGGAGCAGTGGCAAGGCTGAGCCCATGAGCTGCCACTGGAGGTCAGGCAAATGCTCGAGAAACGCCTTGGTTTTAACAGTGAGGATAATTAAGAGGGGATAGAGGAGGTGGCAATTGCCCGGTGTGGGGTCAGGACCAAGGCCAAGGCTTTGCTGGTCCTTTCCAGACCATGGCATCATCTCCTTCCCATCTCTCTCTGTCTCCAGGGGGAATCAGTGTTTGACCAACAATCTCACCTACCTGGAAATCATCCCTGGTAACGCCACGCTGGTGAAGAACGGTGAGCAGCACGGGCAGGGTTATCACCCCGCACACGGTTTCACATGGATAGAGACACACAAAGGGTTCATGTCCGTGTTTTACATCACCTGATGCATTTTGCTCCTGAGTCTCCTTGCCTGTTTGAAGGCTCAGTGAGCTCCAAGGAGCTCCCCAAGCCTGGGGGCACCCTGGGTCACCTCATCACCCCAATCCTGGGGCACAGCAGGGATCACAGCCCCGCTGTCCAGCCACACTGAAACCCCACAGAGCAATGCTCCCATCCCTGCAGGAAAATACCGTCCTGTTTGTGGAGTTATTTCACAATCCCCTTGGGGAAAGGAGGGATCCTGGCAGGGTTTAGAGAGTTAATGAAGCCTCTCTCGTTCTTAATTGCATCCTCTTTGATGAGGAAATGGGGTGAGCCAATCTAGGGCAACCCGTGGGATACAGTTTGAGCATTCAGCACATTCCAACAGTGGGACAGGAACGGGGTGATTTTGGCTCCTTCACACCCCAGCCCCACTTTYAAGAAATGCAATTTATAAATTTATTAAGAGCAAAAAAAAAAAAATCACCCTATTTCAGAATATTTGTCCTGACCTGCTGTGGGTTGAATCCCAGGGACTGTTGACATTGCCCACAACTGGGCTGGAGTTTATTGCTGKTGCAGCACTGAAAATCTCAATACTGTGTCTTTTCTCTCCAAGTCAAGACCCATCAAACTGAGGGGATGCTGATGAACCTCAGCTCTGAAGATCTGTTGCTCGTCCAGTACCAAATGGAGAAGGAAAGGGTATATTTGGGGCAGTATCTCTACGGTAAGAAACTCCAYCCTAAAGTAATTTAAAGCTATCACAGAACAGCAACACGTGAACATGAAATTATCAACTGAAACCACGCAGCAACTTGATTTCACCAACAGTCAGTGACTTTTCTGAGACCAGTGCTCCAGGGGTCACAGGATTTACAAACCCCATTAAACCCACATCTCTTGGCAGAGCAGGAAAYAGCAAGTTAAAGGCTAAACCCACTTACACCATAAATATTCAAGGAACAGGAAGCAAATACAATTCAGCATCAATATCACTGTAAAATCTCARTATTTTCAAGCCAACCATGATGTTCCAGTACTTATCTCCCAGGACAGAGCACGTGGCTTTGCAGTGCCAAAGCTGATCAGATTTACCCACGACCCCATAAYGCAGCAGCTTTGACCCTGAGAAGGCTCCACATCACCCTGCCTGCAAAAGTTGTTTAAGAGATTTGGATAGAAAACTGTCTCCACACTCAGCCTCAGTCCCTCCTGACACCCCAGGATATCAGACCATCCTGTAACCCCTTTAAGCAGACAGGATCAGAGTTGTTTGGGAGAGGTTAAAACAAWTGATGGCCAAGGTTGGTTTTGTTGAGGTGTGTTCGCCATGGGGAGACCACATCCACAGCAGGAGCTGGTGGGAAGGGGAGGCAGCAAGGGCAGGGATGTGGCACAAAGGGCTGTGCTGAAGCCACCAGTCCATATTTAACACCTGACAAATCCTTCTCCAGCCCGGAACCGGAGCATAAGCAAAGCTGAGCAGGAGGAATTCGAGCAGCACGTGGAGTGCCTGGGGCTGACAGCAGAGCAGATCGTCTACGCGCCGTGGAAAACGGTACTGGGCACTCTGGGGGGACAGGGACAGCAAAGCCACCACAGCCCTGCACCAGGCAGGGGTGCAAGAGCACGGGCTGCACCCCCAGCTGCCAAACTGGGGTCTTGGAGAGACATTTTCAAAGTGGGGGAARTTGTTTAGGGGATTAAATAACCACGGGCTTGCTTCAATGGAGGTTTAAAATAGCAGCCCTAAGACAAATATATGCACCTGAGTATCTCCACTGGGAAACCTGGTAACAGCCTGACTACTCCTGCTGGGGGTAAAAATACCTAAAATAATATCTAAATATTACCTAAAGGTATTTCAGGGATTTTTGCCCTGATATTCCTGATTTTGCCTTGAAAGGCCTGATTTTACCCACCAGCAGGGACCAGCTGCCCCCAGGATTTGCCACAAAGGGCAGGAGACCCCAGGGATTTTTTCCTTCAGGTTTTCCACCAAAAACCAGGTTCAATCCTCACCTCTGCCACCTGATTTAAGCCATTTTATCCTGCAAATGACCCAGACCCTGAGTCAGTTTGACAGMGGCCCCCAATTGGAAAGTGAAAAACATCTTACCTTTTGCTGCTCTGTCCTGGTCATCTGCTCATCCACATCAGGAGAGTCTGAGTTTCCAGGGGTGCCCAAAACCCCACACCAAGGCATGGCTGGATCCAACATTRTCCCCAACTCTTATCCAGCCTCAAGAGGCTTCTTTTAAAACTGTGCCCCACAGRTTCAGGGGAACTGGGGGCAGAGGGTGTAGGGGACAGAGTGAAACCCTCAGAATGGGGTTGGGATTGGGGCAGGGTCAGGTCTCCTCTCCCATTTAGCAAACGAGCAGGACCTGGGAGGCCGAGCCCAGCTCCTCTACTTTAACTGCACAGAGCTGTGGATGGGGACTGCAGTGTCTGGATCACATTTAAATTTGGGTAAAAATTAGGAGAATAAGTCATGTGTGTGTGCTTACAAGCTCTGGTGCAATTGGGGCTGGCAGTTACTGGCCAAGGTAATCCACTGCACCTAAGGAGTAAAAAAAAAAACCAATTGAACAAACACAGAAAATGTGTTGGGGACCTTTGTCATCAGGCTGAAGGTGATGGATGTGAGCAGAGCACCAGAGCAGAYTCACAAATGTGTCAGCTGCAGGCATTGGCAGAACTGAGCCCATGCTGAGTGCCTGGGCAACACAAGCTTTTTATTTATTTTCCCCAAAATTTGAGCTCCCCCTTTCCTTCTGAGCTCACTTACTGAGCTCCAGCTTTGCCACTGGAGTTTGGTTTCCTCTTTCCAGCACAGGTGTGGGAAATGGGACCAGCAGGAGCTCAGCACTCGGACGAGCAGTGTCCGTGCCTGGGGCAGCACAGGCGAGCCCTGAGCATCCTTAAACTAAAAGGGGAAAGGAAAATACTYCTTTCTTCAGCAAATCCTCTCTTGTTGGTGCCCTGGCAGATTGGCTTACCCCGTTTTTGGTGTTTTGACAGGACGTGTGTCAGGAAGAGGCCGAGGGTGGCAAAGGCCCGCAGACGGAGCCCTCGGCTGCAGTCACAGCACCGCCTGCTCCRGGCACTCCCTGGCCTGGCAGCGCAGGGAACTGACCCCACCATGGGCAATAAACCTTTCCAAGWTTGATGCAATTTGGTGCCAAATTGTGTGAGAGCAGAGGGTTCTGCAGAGGGCTCGCAGATGGAAAATAAACACCCAACTGACCTGATGTGTCACTCAGCTGTGGGAGGAGTTGGGAAGAGACACCCTGGAGCTTGGAAAAAAGAGCTGTGCTGAAAAGCAGCGCTGCAATGCAGCAGTGAGAGAGRCCAACCAGAAGAGGGCAATCGTTAATTATTTTAAAAGAGCTAGCCAAGCATTTGAGGTGCAACAGATATATACAGGAGTCTGAAAACGTATCTTTAACTGTGCAGCCTGAGGAAGAGGGGCCTTAGCTGAAAGCAACCACCCAATTTTGACAGCATGYTGACTGCCAGGTAGCCCAGGTGGGACAGATATTGCTGCCCAAAGCCTTTGAACCATGCAAGAGCTCCCTGATAATGTCCATCCACAGCGTGGTTTGCACACAGGGTCTGACACTGATGAAWTGTCCTCCTGCCAGAGGGACAGGGTGCTAACCCCACCCAGCCTGGATTTTTAYTTTCCCCGAGAAAAGGTCATGTTTYCTCRTTTCCCAGCAAGCTCAGCACCCTGGAATGAGAAATGCCAGACTGACATTGCTCTCTGGGTCTCCAGTACACCCCTGCACTCACCAGGCACCCCACACAGCCCTTATCCCAGCCCCAAAGGGAGGACAGCACCACCACTGCCATTGTGAAAGTAGGTGAGTTTAACAAGAAACTGCTGCTGCTGCTGCGTGTCTGAAGAGTAATTCAGTCTCAGCTCTAACCTAGTAATTAAGCACTGAAAATATCTCTCTTCCTTAAAAAGGAARAAAAWKAGAAAAGCCAGAGGGAAGGCAGCAGCAAGCCCTGTGACTCCCTCTGCAGCTCCAGGGTGCTTTGTCTGTCCAGCTGCCTGTTCCAGAACAATTTCAGTGTTGAGCCTTTGGACTGACTCCCCTAGCAAAAATGAGTTTTACAAGAATCATTAATGTTGGAAAAGACCTCCAAGGYTGAGTCCAGCCTTTGCCCAATCYCCATCTTGTCAACCAGAACAGAGCCCTGAGTGCCAGCTCGAGTCATTCCTGGGACACCCGCAGGGATGGGGACTCTGCTACCTCACTGGGCAGCCCATTCTAATGCTTGACAAGTATTTCTGTGAAGAAATTCCTCCTGATATCCAATCTGAACATCCTGAGGTACATCTCTTGTCTTGTCCTTTGTTCCCTGGGGGCAGAGCCCAATCCCCAGCTGGCTGCCCCCTCCTGTCAGGGAGTTGTGGAGAGTCAAAAGGTCTCCCCTGAGATTCCTTTTCTGCAGGATAAGAAGTTCAGCCCATTGCCTCCACGTCTGGAGGCACAGGTACCCAGCCAGCCCTTGCTTCAGACACCTCTTTATCAGCTGGTGATGTGAAACACAACTCCCCCACCTCTCTAGAGGACAGGGGGGCTGTGGGGATGCTGGCAGCAGCCTCCAGTGCTGCAATCCAAGAGCCCATCTCAGCTGACACCAGTGGAGAGCTGTGGCTCAGATTACAAAAACCCAGACTTTATGAGTATATTTATAGCTGAATAAAAGCCTTGAATTACAGTAGGAAGCAACAAAGCCCGTCTGGCCCCCACAGCAAGTTTTGTTAACCAAATCAGAGGCCACTTGCACTACCAGCTTTGGTTCCTGAATGACCTTCAAGGGTAGCTCATGGCTGGGCTTGTTATTCACAGAAAAACTTGAACAAAGCCTTTCTGCTGAAAGCTGTCTAAGCCAGGTCCTTTCAAGGGAATAATTGGACTGCAGAGCTTTGTTTTTCTGAGAAATTCACTTCTCTGAACCGTGTTATGGATACTGCAGAGATGAGCAAAGTCCAACAACACTCTCAGACAGGTAAACAGTGTCTGAAGATCCCTGACTCATCACCACCATCGTTAGCCTTCATCTTGCTGCCTTTGCTTTTAAGAATTGCATTCTCCCAGGTCCTCATGGTGAGAATTCTTCCCAGTGTCAGTATCTTTGGTGAGAATTAGCACAGGAAGAGTCTGGCCACAAACAGCACCAGAAAATCATARAGAAAGAGAATGGAGACATGTGATATCTCTTTAACAGACCTTTATTAGCAGACTGTTCCCTACATGAAGAATCCGAGTTAGATTTGCATTATAACAATTTGTGGTTACAGCTACAAAGATGGTTGTCATTTTGCATTGATTTTTGCATTCTGATATTCATATTCTCAGTAGGCCACACTGGTAGGAAGGAGCCACTGCAGAATTTGACAGGTTTCAGGAAGAGAGGGGTGGAAAAAAATCRTATCACTAATCCATAGTTAGGTAGATTTCCACGTGGCTACACTACTGACAGCACTGAGAGGCAAGGCAGAGTCTCAYCTGAGAGACTCTCCAGGAACCACCAAAATCTGTCAGAAAAAAAGCAGCTGTTGAGTGCTAGCAAATCCTTTTCCAATTTCTCACACATCTCCACAGTGTCCTCCTGCATGTGGTGAGCACTGGCTCAGCAGCAGGATCTGCTGATTCAGCCTCGAAGCACAACTGCAGCAGCTCGTGTCCAAGTGCAAGTTTCCTTCTATCTCACTGGAAACGTGTATATTCTTTAGTCCCTGAGATTTCTCTCYTCCCCCCTCACCTAAAAATTCACCCAAGAGCTCTTAATTAATTGTGACAYCCAACATCCACAGACCTTCCACCTCCCAACTTCAGCCATCCACCCAAAGCCTTTCAGCAGTGCACAAGAGGCGATTCCAAACTAAGGCGAGCCTCGAAGTGCACCCTCCCCYCAAAGTTCTGCTTCCTCACCTGCTCCCTTCTCTCCTATGGCTTCTTGCTACAGAATTTCTCTGGGCTGAGGTCCTCCAGCAACAACCCCAGCCGTGGGAAAGGCAGCTCAAGCCCCAGAGGGAAGATAAAGAAGTGACTTTAGCGTCCCTCCCCACGGCTCAGCTGTGTGATGAAAGAGAACTAATAGAGAACTTTTTAAAACAGGAGAAATATGAGCACAGTAACAATATTTAAACAAACCTATAAAAATAGTCTTGACATAACTCTGTTCAAATAAATACAAAATAAATATGCTTTAAGCAGTACAACAGTGGAATGCAACGCTGGTCCATTTTAACCAAAATGAAAAGTTGGGTGAGGATCTCCCAGGCCTCAGAAGCTGGATCCTATTAACTAAAGCAGCCCATAATGCAATCAGAGAAATTTTAAAGCCATCTCTTTCCCTTAGCCTTATGAAAAGCACCCTTTGAAAGACAAGCAAGCATGTCCTCAGGACTCACCTCTGCCAGTGACAGCCAGCCCCTCTCCCTAACACCCCTTCCCASAGCAGACATTGGGGCCTCCATCACACCTCAACACCCATCTACCAAGAGGTCTAAAGAGATAAGATAGCAGCGTAGGCACGGGGGTTGGAAAAGGTTCACCAGCTCTCCTTGGCACCAGGCAGGATGGCATTCAGAGGTCCATGCAATGCTGCACAGGGCTCTCGTGTCGTGCTGGGAGCACAACTGCACAGGAGCTGTGAGTTATTTTGTCTTTGTTCACTAAAGCCATGCATCACGGTGCCGGGCAGCCCAGGGCTCTCCTGCCTTCCCTTTCCAAGCCCCTGCAGAGTATAAGACAAGCCAACCCCGGSATGCAAAGGATACAGGCATGCAGGCTCTAGTCTGCTGCTTCTGTTAGTAAGTGCATCTTGTTAGTGGGTTTATGAGACACACTTAAACCTATAAAAAATAAATAATCCTAATTCTTCATCAGGCTGGTTTAAGCAACCTTCAGCCTGGCTGGATAAACCACTRCCCACCAGCCCTCCAAACCAGTATAGATCAAAGTTACATTTCATGTCAAGTCTTGGAAGCAGAACATGAATGTCTTCCACCCAAAGGAATATTTGTAAACATAATAACAAGCCTGGTGTGGCAGCAGCTCCTACACAAGGTTTGTACAAATTTAAACAATGGGTAGGAAGTTAAACAACTGAATGAAAAAAGCAGCTCTCTGAATGGAAAAAGAAGCTCTTTCAGCAAGTCAGAAGGTGCTCATCTGTAGGCAAACAGCTCGGTACAGGCAACAYGCTGAGAGCAGACCTGTAACCCAAATCTTTGCTACTCTGTCATACTGCTGGGAACWGACCTCAGCAACTCCCGTCTCAACATCTTCCCAGGAGTTCATCTCCTGGTCTCCSAAACGGCCCAACAAAAAGGACCCTGTGATGGTTTATGTGGAGCTCTGAGTAGCAAGATGGCAAAGGACACCAGATCCTCCCCTCCCCCTTACTGACTCACAACAATCTGAGATTTCACAGCTTTGCTTAGTCAGCTTAGTGTCAACACATTCACAGAATGAGAGATGGCTTATACGTCTTGGGATCGCATCCCAAGATTTCARAGTTCAGAGTCCTCAGCATCTCCTGGTCACCGCGAGTCCACGCCCAGAGTCATCTTCAAGTTTTCATACACCACGTAGCTGATGCTCACAGCTGGGATCACCTTCATAAAGTTGGGTGCCAGACCCCGRTAAAGCCCAAACGCTCCCTCTGTCTTCAGAATGTGTTTGAACAGTCCCCTCATGGTCACTTCAGGAGCACCCTCCACTGAAGCTGCAACAGAGAAAGCCACAATAAATAATGCCACCTATGTGGTGAAAACACTTTTGTTTTCAAGAGCAGCTCTGACATCKGTGTGCTTCCAGATGTTCCCAGAGCAAAGGTGCTTCGTGGGGGACAGCATTAACTTCTAACTACCCATGCAATTTTTCCACATTGCAAGTGTTTTCTCGAACTGCTCTGCAGATGCCCTCAGCCTAGAACTGCTGATCTGACAAAACAGAACCTCTGTCCTGGAGGTCCTTGGCCCCGGCTGTCAGAAAGGCAGCACAAAGTCCACTGTCCCCTTGCAGCACCACAAACAACCCACGGCTCAGCTGCATGGCCCAGCTGAGGCTGTTGTTGCAATATTTACGCTAGAGAACCTTTAGCCTTGCTTAGAAACCAARGCAGCAGTTCCCACTGTTCCTAAAGTTCTCACCTTGGGCCTGCATGCGTGTCCTCACRAGAGCCAGGGGGTAACTGGCAAGCTGTCCACAGGTACTGGAGATGGTGCCACACG